TACTTTGACAACTTTAAACAGAGATGCCATATCCCTAATCTCAAGTAATTGCTGATAAGAGTTTGGGCTATTACATATTTCCTTGTAATATTCTGAAATAATAATAATCATAAAGAAAATCTAAGTTATAAGGGTGGCCCTCCCCAGATAGTGTGCATTGTACCTCGTAGGTGTAGCAGGTTTTGTTGTTGTTGTTGTTGTTGTTGTTGTTTTTCCAGTTTTTGGCCGGGGCTGGGTTTGAACCCACCACCTCTGGCATATGGGGCCAGTGCCCTACTCCTTTGAGCCACAAGCACCGCCAGGTGTAGCAGTTTTCCAGTGAAAAAAGTTTAGAAATATATTTAATGGCTCAATGACAGGAAAGCAGTACGAACTAATGTGAAAAAAACAGGAAGACAGTGAGACCTGCCCGAAACTCAAGAAAGGAGGTGAACAAGGTGAAGCTTAGCCAGTTGGTGAGAAGAAGAAAGTGGGCAAGTGTGAGCGGCTGAGTCAAGGCCCTGGAGAGCACAGGGCGGGAGTCAGGCCCTCCTGACTTGTCTGTCCCCTGCGAAGCCACTCTGCACCAGGCAAGGAAATCTCATCACTAACCCCAGGACAGAAGGCTTCACGGATGAATTCTACCAACAGTCAAAAAAGAATTAATACCCATCCTTTCGAAATGTTTCCAAAACGTAGAACTAGGGGAAACACTTCCCTACTCATTTTATGAAACCTGTTATCACTCTGATTAAAAGTATAATCAGATTATAAAATAAAAGCATAGGCCAACATCCCCACTGAACACAAATCAAAACTCTTCAGCGAAAATACTGGCAAACTAAACATCACAGTAATAAGATCATATACCGTGATCCACTGGGATTTATCCCTGGGATGCAGGTATTTCCACATACCCATGTCAATCAATGTAATATACCACATTAAAAAAATGATACACAAAGACCACATACCATTAAGACACATGTAGGAAAAGCATTTGCCAACATTAAACACCATTGTATTATTAAAAACTCTCAACAAATTGGTACATAATGAAGGCCATACATGAAAAATGCACACCTGCTATCAGATTCAACAGTGAAAACTAAAAAATTTTCCTCTAAGATCAGGAACCATATAAGGATGCCCACTTTCAACACTTCCACTCAACATACACTAAAATCCCTTGTCAGAGCCATTAGATGAGAAAAAAAAAGGGCATCTAATCTGAAAAGGAAGAAGAAAAATGATGTCTGTTTCAGACAACATGACCACAACCATATACTGCCTAAAATGCCACCAAAAAAAAAAAAAAAGGTTAGAACTAAAAAATGAATTCAGTGCAGTGGCAGAATACAAAATCAATGCACAAAGATCAATTGTGTATCTGTTTGCAAACAAACTATCCAGAAAGGAAATTAAGAGAACAACCCCACTGACAATAGTTCCAAGAAGAATGAAATACTTAGGAATAAATCTGACCAAAGGTGTGAGAGACCCCTAAGCTGGAAGTTATAAAACAACTGACTCTTGAATATGGCTTTGCCACCTTTGCTCAAGAATCAGTAGTGGCTTTCCTTCAGTGTTATTCAGGATGCAGAATGCCACCAACTTGTCACCTCATTTAACCTGCCTAGTTCTATATTAATTCATAACTCAGACTCTCTGTCTCAGCCCAGCCATCTGATTGCAGCCGTCTCCACAGCCTGCAGATCTTGTGTTACTCCCCACAACCTGCTTTATCCTGGTCCTCCGTTCTAATCATGACGCCCAATGTGAAACCTGGTGGTTCACCTGAGTGGTCTCTGTGCTGGAAGGAGATTGTATAGGACCTGAGTGATTATACTTGGCAGTGGCAAATACAAGTGCACTCAAAACTCATCTCCTCCAAAAAAAAATAAAAAAATAAAAAATAAATAAAAAAAAAAACAACTCATCTCCTCCACAGCTTTCTGTGAGAGCTGATTTCATTTTCTTTGTCTAATGTTCTTTTCGTTTTTGTTTTCTTTTTGCAGGTTTTTTGTTTGTTTGTTTGTTTGGCTATGCCCAGGGGCTGGATTTGAACCCACCACCTCTGATATATGGGGCCAGTGCCCTACTCCTTTGAGCCACAGGCGCCACCCTGTCTAAGCTTCTTTTCATCATGAATAAGCTCAGTTTAAACAAGAGAAATCTGCACACCATTTTGTTAGTAACAAGAGACTTCTACTTTTAAGTAGATTTTAGAAACCTAAAATATTTCTTTTATGACTGATGAAAATCTGGAGAATATCGAAGAGGGCAAAAAATTATTTTGGTTACTATCAGTAGACACACATTTCCCCTCATTCTCTGCCCTTGGATCTAGACAAGTTTCAAATTCAGAAACGTCCACCTAGAACTACGGTATTTCAAAAGTGCAGGGAAGACCTCCTGTCTGTATCTATGTGTGTGTGCGACTCTAAGAGTCCTGAAGTCTTTAGATCCTCTCCCATACCCTGTAAAATAAGTGGATGGGAACTAACAAAAGCAAGCACAGCCATTTATAACATCCGTGTCGCAATCACCTTTCCCTTGACAGTTGAAATAAATTAAAGCTGCACCACATCTTATGCCTGTCTCTCTGCTTTAATATCTACATTGATTTTTGACCAAACAGCCTCAAGACTTGAAGTAATCAAATTGCACCAGAGAAAACACAGATGATCTATTTTGTTTTGTGTCTCATTTTTTATATTCAATCATTCACTTATAATAATTGAAAAAAAGGAATCAGACCAACACATGCAGTCAATGGCTCTCATCTTCTGCCAATTTTAACTTTTTACTAGTGGGTATAAGTCCTGGTTGATGCGCCTTCAATGTTTCAATTGATTGATTCAATCCTTCAATCTTTTTGAGTGTTCAAAAACACATGCACACTAACATTGACCTCTACATCTAAACACCTCCCTGTCCTTGGCAGGTGTTGGACATCATTTGTAATTTATGTACGGAGAAATAGTTCTGTGCAAGAAACTTGCTCATGTTTGGACAAACGCATGACATTTTATTAATTAGTGAGAGTTAAATAATTAGACCTATTAAAAATCTATTACCTTCACTTTCTCTGTGACTCAAGATGCTTATAATTGCTTTTTCATCATACAACAGACAAGGTCTTAATTTCATATGTGTTTGAAAATGATTCTTCCCGACATATTTCTGAACAGAACATTTTCTTGCTTTGGTCTGTAAGAAAATGTTAGTGTCTGTTTTCACCCTTTCTTCTGGCCAGATTCAAAAAGCACCCTGTAGTGCAAGGATTTTTAGGTAGTAGAAATACTTTGTCTGGTTTTTTTTTTTTTTTTTTTTGGAGTTTTTGGCCAGGGCTGGGTTTGAACCCACCACCTCCAGAATATGGGGCCAGCACCCTACTCTTTGAGCCACAGGCACCACCCTACTTTGTCAGTTTTAAGGAATAGAGTGAACATTTAAAATGAGGACCCTCTGCTAATTGTTCCCCCAAGGACTCCAGCTGCACCACTCTTTGCATTAGCTTCTAGCTCCAAGGTAGGCCTCACTCTGGCTCCCTACAGCCATGAAGAGGAACAAAGAAGCTTGATGTGGTGAAGGTGATTCTGCATAAAAGAAAAAAACACTGCCACCCTTGGCATGCGTCCCCTTTGTTACACACAGCTGCTGCAGGAGAGGCTGCTGTGTCTACAAAACCTTTCCTTCCTCATTTCTGATGCAGGAAGAAACACCGTCAACGGGAGCAGAGTGTGAGGAGGTATCATGTGAAGGGGGTGCGGGGCGAGGATGAAAGGAAAAAAGGGGTGCGGGGCAAGGACGGAAGGGAAAAAGGGAAAGGAAGGAAGGAAAGGAGGGAGAAAGAGGAAAAGGGAAAACGAGTGAAATGAAATTCCTACCACTACAAAAAAATAAACTCTTGTCCCTGAAAGCTTGTCCAGAGGCAGAGCTGGGGCTGAGGTTGCTCCTTCACACCCACTGTCACACGGGCGTCTATAAAGACTCTATGTGAGCCTTTCTGTATTTGCACTTCTGTAAGTGGGGGGAAAAATCACTTTATTTTTCACTCTTATACAGCGTGGATCTAGGTCTTGTGGGGCCTGAAGCTCACTTAGTTAGGGCTTCCTTATGGCAAAGGAGACAAATTACTATGACAAAAGGAGTGCAATGCCTTGGGGAGCCTGCCCAGCTGGAGACCCTGGTCAGTTTCCTCAGCGGTCAGGTCAGCCTGTTTCTGTGCCCAGGCTTGAAAATGACAGAGGGGGCTCACGCCTGCAATCCTACCACTCTGGGAGGACAAGGTGGAGGGACGGCTAGAGGCCAGGAGCCCCAGAGCACCCTGAGCAAGAGCAAGGCCCTATGTTGACAAAAACTTAGCCTGGCATGGTGGTGTGCACCTGTTGCCTATAGTCCCAGCTACTCCGGAGGCTGAGGCAGGAGGATGGCTGGAGCCCAGCCATGTGAGGTGGCAGTGAGCTATGATGGGGCCACTGCACTCCACCCAGGGCCACAGAGAGACTATCCCAAAACAAACCAACTAAACAACCCAACTGAGGCAAACAAGGCTTCAATCTGGCAAACTGGTGACCACATCATTAAATGCTCACTGACTCCCACTGAAGTCTGCATGGACGGACACAGGCCCAGATCTGTCTCGCCATCACTCAGGATGCCCAGGGATTCTAACACTGTCACAACCATGAAATGTTAATGGAATTGAAAACAGAGGTGTTAGTTTAAAACACACAGGCTGGGGATACCCGTGTTTTTCATACTTAACTGAATTTTTTTTTAATTTCAAGAATGTGCCAGATGAGATAACAGGGAAGATTTGTATTAGTTGTGATCTGTGAGATACAGAAGTACTAAATACTAAAATTTAATAATGGCCAACTCCTCTAAATTCAACCATTAAAAACAAATTGTTGAATGTGAGTCACATCAGTGGACACAACGTTAACCACAAATGAAAAGCCCAGCAGAGGCCTTTCCACAGTCGTGGATGTCTCCACAGATTACTCACTCACCAGCGGTGACGGTCAATCTCATCACAAAGGTGTCATTCTCTCCTGTGCTGGCCTGGAAACAGCAGCGGTAAAGTCCCGAGTCGGAGGCCATGACGTTGGGCAGGATGATGAAACTCCTCCTGCTTCCCTGCGTGCAGGTGGTCCAGACTTGTCTTCGGTACTTCGAGGTGTAATTTCTGCCTTGGAAGAAATTGCAGCAAGCCAGGCGGTCGATCTGATGGGGCTGGATCTTCTCCCAGGTAACCTGCTGCACGGGCCACTTCATTGGAAGCTGACAGCTGAGTGTGATATTTTTTCCTGGTTCTGAGACTATGTGGCTAATTGATGGCTCAGCTATCTCAAAACTATCTGAAAAGGAGGAGTAAACGATTAGACCCAGTTTGTCAGGTTTTTGGACAGGGAAGTGGAAACCAGAAAAGTCTATCAGAGTGACTGGGAATGCTAGTTAGCACAGTTTCATTGATTGTAAATGATAAATTTATACGATGATTTTGTAAGAGAAAAGAATGTTTTTAAGGCTGGGAGGTAACCAGAAAAGAGGATATGATTGTTCACACATGGTTCCTAAGTGTTACTTGGTGAACCATGTTACGAGAAACGTAACCTAACCCTCTGCTGCTTTTTCTTGGTAGTGATCTTCCTAAGAGCTGAATTACACAATCGACCCTCCTGCAACTATATGGGGCAGGTGACTCAAACACTGGCGTTGAGCAGCAAATTTCCCCATTATAATCACACTGCATCATATTGTAATGTTCATAAAAAGAGATGCCAAATTATTTCCATTGAATATGTACATAAATTCATTTTTGAGATGTACAGGATTGTCTTATAAACAGGTAAAGTAGGGACCAACATGTGGTAGGAAAATCTCCTATCTTTTCTCATCTTCCTGGAGATGTTTCTGGAATTCCTGGCACAAAATACTTAGTAAATTATCCCTAAATATCTCAGTCAGCCGTTCTTGTAGTGTGTTTTGGGAATCCAAGCACACTGTGCCCCTTTCAGGGATCTGCAAGGTCAAACCTATTTTCATAGTAATGTTAAGATACAGTTTGACTTCGTCACATTTTGTCCCAAGTGTACAGGAGATATTTCCAGATGGAAATTTTAGATGGCTAAATTTTAGATGGCTAAAGGAATGTGTGCTTGAAAATTCCTCTGTTTACCAGAATGTTTCTCACGGCACAATTCACAGTTGCAAAGCTGGAGAATCAATCCAAGTGCCCATCAATTCATAAAAAACTTATAAAATGTTGTATATATATATGTATACCAGGGGGTCATACTCAGCCATAAGACATGAATACCTTGCAACGATCTGGGTGGAAGTGGAGACCATTCTCTTAAGTGAAGTGTTGTGAGAATGGGAAAACAAACCCATGTGGGCTCACGATTAATTGGAAGTAATTAGTCAGCACTCAGATGCATGGATGGAAATAAAACTCAACAGCAACCAAACAGGTGGGAGACGGGAGGACGGGTGGGTGCAATCGTCCCTAACAGGCACAGTCTACACTAGCTGGAGGATGGGCATACTTATAACTTTGACTCGAGTAGTATAAAAGCAATCCAAAACATTTAAATTTTAAAAAAAGAAATAAAATGGGTGGTGCCTGTGCCTCAAAGGAGTAGGGTGCCAGCCCCATATGCCAGAGGTGGCGGGTTCAACCCCCAAACCCAGCCCGGCCAAAAACTGCAAACGAAAAAAATAAAATTCCTGGGTTTTACATTTTGCTCGAAGTTAATTTCTAATATGGTAAATATGATAGATACAGCCTATACTCCGTGAGGGTCCTCAATAATCCTAAGACCAAAAAGTTGGGAACCTGATCCAAAGACTAAACTTCAGGAACTATTTCTCAAAATTAAGATAGCCCAAAGGGGTAACACATGGATCTATTTACTGGAGGTTAACACTTTCCTTCATCCGGTATCTTCGCTGCTGCCAACAGAGAACTCTGAAGGAGGCTGGGGCAGTGAGGGTGTCACGAAGCTCAGGGGGCTAAGAAGGGAGCAGAAAGACACAGAACTTCTGTCATTTTATCTACATGACCGTTTTGCTCAGGGGGGACCCAGGAGCCACTGTCTTGACTTACAACAAAATAAAATACAAGTACGAAGGTGGGGTGGGGTAATAGAGAGAAAGATGGAGGGAGAGAGAGACAGAGAAAGAGGGAAATGGAGACAAAAGGCAGGAAGGACAGAGGAGGACAGGAGGAAGGAATGGGAGCTAAAAAAGCAGGTATCCCATTGGACACAAGGGTGAGACTGCACCTAAAACACAAGACGTGCTGTCTGTGTTAGAGTAGAGCACCGTGACAGCTCCTTCTCAACCCCAACCAGCTTCTCATGGCCTCTGTGTGGTCCAGGTGTCAAAATGTTGTAAAGAGAAAACCAGGCCTTCCAGTTTCTCCTCTAGAAAAACTACACACAGCCGCTCGCCAGAGGTAACACCTCACCCACATGACAAGCAGCCAGGAGACGTGTCATCTTGAAGTAATAAGGAAGAACATTCGTAAGAAAAGGATAAAGGGGGAAATAAAAGCTTAAAAGAAGCAAAAGGGAAATTAAGACAAAGAAGAGGAGAGGGGGGTGGGAGAGGGGATGTGGAATGTGGGAGGAGGGAGGGTGTTCGGGGACCTCACCTAATGTGCATGATGCAATGGTACATTTCCAAACAATTAAAAAATGAGTATAATTGTGATGGATGTGTTACTTGGTTCAACGTAAGTATTCCACATTGTATATCAAAGCAGTACCCTGAACCCCATAAATGCATCAATGTACAAAGTTATGATTTAATAAAAAATAATTATAAAAAAAAAAGAAATTAAGACAAAGGAAGATGTGGAAAAGAGAGAAAGAAATGAGAGACAATATAAAGAAAAGGCTAAATCTGATACTTGCACACTGTGTGGAAAAAATGAAGTGACATAAAAGAAACAGGGAAACAGAAAATGTTTCCTGGAGCATTCTGCCCTGGGAGTGAGCGGCCGGCTGGCCTGCGGGGCTGTGGGACTGTGACTCCAGGTGCTCACGCTCAGAGTTCTGCTACCTCCATCTTTCTGGACGCCACTGCTCCACTCTTGTGGGTTCCTTTATCTGCTGACCAAAACCTGCTCTGAGCAAGCACCCCGTGGACCTATGCACTGAGGGGTCCTCTCTGAGGAGAGTCTGCATTTTCACAAAGAACAGGTGCAGGAAGCATTGGAGAAACCTCCACCGAGGAGTGGCCAGGCCCAGGGGCACCGAGGGAGCCAACTTCAGAGGAGCAGATGCAGGGAGCTTGCGTCAGAGGCTCCATATGAGGACCCAGATCCACCTGCCAAGAAACTCAGATGGAAGCTGAAAGAGGAGGGACCCCCAACCCCAGAGTGGGTGGTTTGAAAGCACCCAATGGCCCCAACGAACCCTTCCTGAGCAGAGTAACGGGTTGGTGTCAGATGGAAATGGAGCCCCACACGAGGTCTGCAGGACCTGCCTTCCCTCAGATGTTGCTTGAGGCTGTTGGGAGCCTGGGTCCCTCCTCCATAACCTGACACAAGGCTGCCCCTCACCACCCTAAAAAGAGCCAGCAGGAGACCCTGCCAAACAAAACCCCCCAGCATCCAGACCAACTCAGAATTAGAAAACGGATGTCTATATAATCATTAAATCCAGTCATAATTCCTTGAAATTATTAAGGGACCAAGATGTTGTAGTTAGTTTTGGGAAGAAAAAAGGTTTGATTTCAATTTAATCCTAAAATAGAAACACAAATGATAAAAACTAGTTTATTCTACACTTACATTTAGCTAGCTGTGCATTAATTCTTAGGATAAACAGAGGATGGAAGGCATTGTATGGACAGGATTTGTATTATAGGATACCCTGATGAAATACTCGGGATCTTGTGTCTCACTTTTCTGGCATGATAAGGGATCATTCTTGAAAATTATTTCAGTGTTGCATCACTTTCTCCAAGCACCACTTGGTCCGCGGGTGCCCCAGACATTGCTGGGTACACCTGCTCATCATTCTCCAAGCACCACTTGGTCCACGGGTGCCCCAGACATTGCTGGGTACACCTGCTCGTCATTCTCCAAGCACCACTTGGTCCGCGGGTGCCCCAGACATTGCTGGGTACACCTGCTCATCATTCCACGCACAGCCTTGCACACCAGCACATCCCCCACTGCCACCTGCTGTCCTCTCTGACCAAGAACTCTGCAGAATCTTTTACCAACTTTCCAAACCCTGCATCTTTTTCCTGTCAGCTTATAAGCCCAAACCTCCGTCCTCTGTCCTTAGCACTTAGAACCCTGTTTGGCATAAAGTAGAGACATCAATTACTATTTTTTAAATTAAAAAAAACCAATTTATAATTTCACTTTACAGTCAATATGCAATGTATTTTTATTGATTTTAAGGGTATTTATGTCTATAATAACTCTAAGAACTATATTTAAAATATTTGTAGTGCCTAAATGAACAATCGGTTAACAATCATCAGCGTCTACAAAGTCACAGAAAGAAACTGATGTTCCCATAGGACCACCCTGGAAATTGCAGCCTCCAAAATAATCAGAACTGATGCTGATCAGGCCTCCAAATCTGAGCACCAACTCAGAGAACTACAAAGAGCAGAGAAATGTGGTCAGTGCCGCCAGGGGAAAGCACTCACTGGAATACAATGGACTGAGAGGGACAGTGACACCAAGGAACGGAGGACAGAGAGGGACAGGAGGGAACTGCAGGGTTAAGGAGATGTAAGAGACACATGAGACAGTTATAGCATGTGACACTTGGAAAAGGGCACGTCACAGGGCAACTGGAGAAACATGAAGTAGACGCTGAATGGTTTTAAGGCCTTATTACCGTTTTTCTGGGGCTGAGGGGCTGAGGCTATCACATTTATACTAAAAAATGAACTCCTCATCTTTAGAAATTCGGGCCTAAATATTTACAGATGAGATAATGTATCAGCTGGAATTAGTTTCAAAATAATGAAGAAGAATGAGAGTGAGAAAATACAGAGTAACATTGCCCCGAACTTGACAGGTGGTAAAGTGACATGAGGGTTGCATGGAGACTCTTTCTATACTCTCTGTGTGTATGTCTGAAACTTCCATGTCAAAAGGTTTGAAAAGATTTATTTGTACAAGATTTGAGAAGTGAGAGAGCTGCCCGAAGCGAAGCCCTGCTTTGTGACAGGCACTCCAATGCTTGTAGTGCTGTCATCCAATGGGCACTAACTAATGTGTCGGTTTCACTTACGAAAAAAACAATGCTTGGGTAACCTTCCCGAGCTGTGCTGGCAAACAGCAGAATCAGAAATCAAACAAATTTATTTGGGTTTAAAAGCC